AACAAGTGGGCGAAAAAATAATTCCTGACGAAAATATACAGGCATTATACCTATTTGTAGCTATATTAAATATTGGATACTTGAGTGGTTTTTTTTGAATGGAGTAAATTTTCTGACTTTTAGTTATTCCGAAAAGCACTATGTCCATCTCGGCAACCGCGAGTACTACAGTGAGTCGCGATCGATTGTAAATAATATTCTGGATTGAACGAAAAAAATGTTCAGACGAGTACTACACAGCTATATTTTTTTATTGGTCTTGAGAATACAAAATTTCTGTTTTGACGACTAAGGTTATTAAAATTACATTTGTATGTACATAAAATGAAATAAAAGAAAAAAATACAGTTCTAATTAAAATATTTAGATATTTATCTACATTGCAATTTTATTGATGGCTATATTAGATTTATTATTTTGATTGTTTTAAATAATTCTATTGAGTAAATTTCGTTGCCTGTATTTATTTGTAGACTTGTTTCAATCAAGTCTATGTATTTTATCAATATGTTTTTTGGCTGTATTACATAGTATCGAATTGTAGTTTAGGTTTTGCTTGGATTGTCGATTTAAATATTTTAGCCACCATTTCTATTACTCTACTCCGAGATGTGTGTGATAATAGTTTTAATAATCTAAATGTTTTATTAGTATGAAAGATAATATCTTCAAGTATTTTATGTGAGGCGACCAAGTAAGAGTGGACACATTTGATTTCCTAGCAAAGGTTATGCAGTTTGATTTTTTTGTTTAAAAAATCGAAGGCACTTTTTACTAACTAGTGTGGATTCTTGTAGTACGCCAATTTCTTGTAGTCAAAAGTTAATTGAGTGTTTTGACTTGTAATGATCTACAACTGTATTAAATAATACTTTATACACCGATAAACCGAGTTGACGTGTAATTCGTAAACATTCTCAAGTATTAAAGGCAATCGAACTAAGTCGAGTACCTAAATTAAAACCTACACGAGCGGTTATTTAATATAGTAGAAACTAGACAATTATAAAAACGAACTAATTGCAATAAGATTTCGATAATCATGTTTTGATAAAAAAAATCAATTACGTTTGGATTTGTAAGACAATAAATCAATTAGTTTTGTATTTTTTGTTCTTCCCAATAAGTCGCAAAACATAAAATTGTGCATTTAATACCTATTAAATATAAGTGAAACAATATTTTCATGACACGGCAATAATATCATATCGACTAACTTGTTGAAATAAATTCTTTAAGTAGACAAATTGAAAAACATAATATGAAATCATGATATTGATATAAAATTTCCTAACATAATAATTTATTACAAAACTCATATCATAAAGTATAATAGACCTTTTAGACAGTTCACACACATTTTCCACTATAACGTATCATGATTCTTAACGAGATAAAAATCCGTAATATATATACGTATACTTAAATGAATATATGATATAAAATATCTTTTCATTTACCAAGAAATATAATTATCATTATAATGGTCCTATTATATTTGTACCTACGTGAAAATAAAACCATTTAAATTAGTTGTTATATAAACATTGTTCAAATTATCTATATATAGAAGTAATAAAATATATTTACTACTATAGCAGCAGGCAAATGTTTAAGCACAAACAGATAATATTATAGTTATTATGTTATTATTAAATCTATTATTATTATTATTATTTTATTTATTGCATTTACCTACTCTTTTATAGGTAATAAACCAAATTAATCATCTCAAAAATCATTTCATCTTACATAACAGCTGATTAAATTCCTTTATGTACATAAATACAAGGATATAGATTAAAAATAATATACTTAAGCTAAATAATGCTTCATGCTCATCAATAACATAAATGATTACTTTATCATCACCAAGTGGTATGACTTAAATATTGCTTAATAAAAGGCAGTAAGATAATTATTATATAAACACACAATATACAGTCAGTACACACACAAATGTCAAATACCTACATAATATACGTAGACACCTACATGAGTACGTGCCGACAGACATAATAAGTTGAAATAATTAATACCGCTTGGGATAAGTGTATAAGATGCAATATTAAAACGCATTTAAAAAAATATTTTTTTAATAAAATATTTAAAATAGGTTAGAGCGTCTCCATTTAGAATTAAAATTAATAGATCAATACCAAAAATATCCTGCTGTGAATTGGTAGTAGGTATCATTGTTATAAATGTTATAGATTTATAATATCTTAAAAGTTAATGCAAACTACGTGTAGGTAAAAAAATTGTCGAAATAAATATTTCAATATAAATCTTAGCACTAAGTCGAACAAAACGTTATAATGTAAAAAATAACTGCCACGATTTGTATACAACATAATATTTTGTTTCGCATAATGATAATTTATGCAGCTCGTAACAATTTTCGTTTTCAATAGGTAATTATTATTTTGAAAGTTAGTCGCGTTATTATGGTTAGAGCTTATGAATAATTAAAATATACTAATAATAATGGTAATAATAGCAGAGCAACACCTATAGCGTGTATTTGAAAATTCTGACACGTAAAACATTATCAAATCAATTAAAAATAACTTGGTAATTGTAGAGTCCCTCAGATTCGAACTCTGTACCAAAACTCGTAAGATGCCCTTTAGTTGACCCATCGAGGTATATTTGATTTTTTTTGCTCGTTATCGAAAACGATTTGAAAAAAAGAAATAAAAATACCACCAAAAACCGAAGCGCCTTTTCGGGTTATCTTAACAATCGTCATTTTTTTTTTTATAATGCGTCGTAAAAAATATCAAAAATACTATAATAAGCTATGGTTCTATCTATAATGGCTAAATGTATTGTTTTTTCGTAATTGAATAAACACGTGGAGGCATAATAAATAATATTTGTTCATTATAAACTTATAAAGCTTGGAAAACAATAATATACATACATTGCATTATGACGCATTGTTTGATCGCGATAAGTTATAGTGACATTTTAAGTAGGCATATAGTGTGTATAATGGGCACGTGGATTATGATGGTGTTTTTCTCTATTTCGGAACAGTGAGCGGATTCATAAGTTATAGGTATATACATACACGTCATACATATTTAACATATTCGGAAGATCAATTCGACATGAACTCTAAATGTAAAAATATTGTCAAATCCTCTAGGTACATCGAACACGGTCATACGCTGGGTACGCCCAACATACCTCGAACAAGTCGATTTCATACCAAATTATAATGTAATAACTAATAACACACGATAGACATGCCCAAATAATATTAGAATTATTATCGTAGGACCGCGTGTATCGCCACGGGGTAACACCTACGCTTCACGCGTATTGTTAAAACACTATACATATATGTATGAAGTCGGACCACTTTGCAAACCATTCGACCTCGTCGTCTCCGAAAACAATAAGACGACGTAGTAGTAGTAGTAGTAGTAGTAGTAGTAGTAGTTAGTAGTAATAGTAGTAATAATAATAATAGTAATATAATATAGTATTTGATGTACATTATACGTATGACACGTATGGTGTGTGTGTGTGGGTATGTGTAAAACACCGCTGGCCAGAGTGTCACACGTTGACCTTCGGAAACGTGCCCGAATTACTGTGTAATTACCTAACGACCTGGGCGGGAAGAACATACATACACACGCGCTCGAACGCTGGTGGGAAAGAAGGTGGACTTTGGTATCGTAATTACGTAATTTCGGCGGAGCGCAATGTGTGAAAAAAAAACCGAAATACCGTCATCGTGAAATAACATCCTCGATAACGTATTATATTATAACATAATAATATCTCATATCTATATACGATATTATAATAAATAATAATAAATGCATATATATTATTTCGTTAATGTTAAAAACATACGCAGGCGGCGCCTCGAGCTATCGTCTCAATATTTTCAATGCTGTTTGGGTGGCCTCCGCCGAAAATGTCACGGTCAAGATTGTGCGTGGTGTGGTATAGTGTGTATTATAGCCGTGGTGTAATCGTGTGTGTTATAGTCGTGGTGTGGCGTGCTCGGGGATAGATTCAGTTTTTGTTTGGTTTTTTTTTCAATAGGTTTTTAGGATTTTGTGCGTGCATAATATATACAAATCGCGACGTAATCATAAGGCAGAGCCAACGATACCGTGATATAGTTACGACCTATCCGTAATACGCTTCAAGAAGACGCCGAAGTAAATGTCCATCACCTATACGGTACAATATTACACAGCATACTGTCGCCAAAATATTTACCCATATAAAATAATCAGGTATTAATGAATTGTCTTTAAACATAGTTCGTTCGTAATTTATTTTTTCGTGTTAGCGAATATTATTATTATCTGAATACGCTTCTATTTTTCCCTCACATTGTTCGCAGATGGTGACGACGAACGCATCCATCATATTATTTTATTAACACGGACAACGTGTAATAGTAATCATTAATAATTAATGACGATCGTTCGTCATCGAATCGAAATCGAAAAGACCGCCAACGTATAATTGCGCGAAAACCAAATATTATTGTTATTACTTATTAATATTATATTAAATGGACGAATCATCGGTCAACGATATGTGTGAGTGTGTTGTTGTACAGTCGGTGACAGTAATAACACTAATAACTAATAATTGAAAGGACATCGGTGGTACAACGCAATTTAACGTAATAGCCGTTAAAAGATACAAGTTCAATTATTATTGGCAATTCATTATTATTTTGCAATGAAATTGGCAATATAAAAATGTCATGCAGGAAACGTGAGGCACGCAAAAACTCTCGCGTGGGGTCCAGCTAATGCACACAACGATTTCAAAAATGTAATTTAAACGCGAGAGAACTACTCAAATAGAGACGTAAACCAGTTTCATAATTATATTATAATTGCTTAGGTACATAGGCACTATAGATTAATATACATATACCGACATAAGTGTACCTATGTATAGTAGCAATATATCAATGTAATATTATTGTTATTATTAAACTGTATAACGCTTACCAGTCATAATCAGCGTCCGGGTTGACATCATCGGCGAACCGATAACACTGAATCATACACGCCCCGAATACCTGTAAACACAAGATGATTATTTTTTTTTATTCATCTCGTCACGAACGCCGTGAGATATATACATCATACACACGTTTGCACACATGATATGTTATAAATATGTACACACGTAAGCGCGGTAAAAGTTAGAATAAACAAAAGTAAAAACACGGCGATGGCGAAAGCGAACAATTTTTTTTTGAAGTCTTATGAAGAGGGTTAAATAGACAAAGAATTTGAGAATAAAATAAAATTTCGACCGTAAACTAGGTAAATATAATACATATAAAACAATAAAAGCATGTAACAGAATAGAACTCGAGTGACGGCGATCGCCCCGCCAATGGCTTTTACTTACTGGTCAGCTAAACGATAGCGCATTTGATTCGTACCCGTCTAACGACGGTCGTTCCACAGGTCCGTCGATCGCTTATTTTATGTATTATCACTGTTCAGACAACTGGTTATCATTAAACATAACCTAGAAAACGGTCGTTGGCGGCGGTAAACGAGCGTGCGGCCGTTGAAACACCGACTGATCACCACAGCAGATGATATGATTATTGTTGTTATATGTTGTATTAATGTCTCACAATGAATCGTGTAAAAAATGTTTAAACAAAATTAATAATACACATATGTATGAATATGTGCGTTTGTCAAATTTAAAAAAAATATATAAATGTGACGCAGCTCGAAAGAAAAAAAAATAATAAAATTATGGGAATACAACTTGGTATAGTGGATAATAATTTACGGATTTTATCCGTTTGGGATATTATTATATTATAAATTATTATACGACGTGTTAACGCGTATGCGACGAGCGCGCGTAACATGCACGGATGTAAGACTAATACTAAATATTGCGGTTGCGGTTGTGGCAGTGGCGGCGGTGGCGGCAGCAACAGCAACAGCGACGACGACGGCGGCGGCGGCGAGCAACAAGTTGTTGTTATACACACACACACAAACCCGCTCGCGCGCGCGCATGTATACACAGCACTACACACACACTTCCTGAGAGTGATATGATTACTATTAATAGACCGATGGCCTCGATCGTTGCCGCCGCCGCAGCCGCCGTCGAGTGCATCCAGTTCTTGATAACGGGGCGGCGCAACGGCTGTAAACAAGACGGGGCGCTATCTGCCGTCCGGTCCAGGGTTGTACGTATCGTCGAAAATTTTTCCGACATTTTTCAAAAGTGCCGCCGGCCAGGTCACCCGCACGGTTGCACTTGCACTAGAAACGGAGTAAACGGACGCAACGACGGGTGTAACACGTTTCCACCGAATGTAATACTAACTAAACATTGCTACTAAAACAATGTTTATACAGTTAAAATCAGTTATCAGTAATACAGTAAGTTTATTTAACACATTTTAAACAATTGAAAAATAGTATAATATCATACTAAATTTTAGTAAAATATTTAAATGTATGTTTATAACAATATACTGATACCAAAATTATAAGTTTGTTAGAAACGTATAATGGTACAACGCACTTATCAATATTTTTATATATATTTACACATAATACAGATTGACGTATAATCGTTAGTATTATATTAAAAAAATCATAAATTATTAAATTAAAAAAAAAAAAAAACAATTTTACGTATTAATCACTTAATAATAATTTTTTTTTTTATTCTATTTACAGAGTTAATGTTTAATTATTTTTATAATATACAGTTGCATAAAAATGATCTTATTAAAATTTATAGTACATTGTTTCAAAATTGTTTTTCTAATCTTCCAAATAAATTTGGGCTGTATTATAACTTTTAATATTATAAAAATTGTTTTAGTTGATAAGTAGTTAATATAATAATACACAATTTGGTAGATATGATGACATGATGGTAGGTGGAAACGGAATAGGTATATTTTTGGTGGAAACACTGGAAACGTACCGCCTTCCATTAAATTGACATAATTAAATATTTGTATAAATAAATAAGTATGAATCGTGTGATAATGTGATTGTGAAGTATGCACCTAAGTATAATCGGTAAAGGATAAACTTGTTAGTTATTATAATTCATTTTAATTTGACGAAAATGGACGGCCGGTCTGCTCATGAAATTGTTATCGGGCGATTAACTATTATTATAGATGCAGGAATATTATGTATTTATGTAAGTAAAATGAATAAAATATTATGATGAAAGATAATCTCGAGAGTTCAATCGGATTTTAATGATGGAATAGATCTCACTATTATATAGGTGTAGTGGCATAAAGTATAAGCGACATAAGAGTATAAGACCGAATGCGACGGTTTTTGCAAGAATTTGCTTGCTTGACATAAAAATAACCACATTAATCCTGACCGTTGAGCTCAGAATAATTAAATTGATTTTCATTTTGCGCTGTCTGTCTAATTATCCAAATCTCGTATGTAATAACAAAAACTATACATTATTTCTGTAGTTACAAAATTAATTTCTGATCGTCAGTCGTTAATTTTAAAGTCGAATGAAAATTCGTAATTTGACGTTATTGCAAGTGAGTGATAAAAAAAAGTGCTCTGTTGCGTCAATATAATATATATTAAGATATAATATAATAGCAATTGTATATAATAGTACCAAATACCAATCAACATTAGAGCGTGCAATAGAAAAAAAAAAATAGAGAAACACTTTGTAGGTATACATAGACTATAGAGACTGGTTTATTATAAAATGTACCAATAATAATATCAACTACATTACGTATAAAATAATTAAAAATATACCTATAGCACGAGAGTAAAGTTAAATTTTATAATAATAAAACAGTTATAAACTTATGATACATAGGTTAATTTATGTTCTCAATTATAATCTAAGCAAAATAATATTTTCAAAAAATTATTATGATAGCGTTATTGTACAGATAATTACTAAACTGAAACGAAATTAATCTAAAAATTATTCAAAGTTCTAGGTGTAGCAATGTTATTGTATTCTAAAGTGTGTTCTTAAAAAACGAAAATTATTGTCTAAAACTAAAAATAACGCTATAAATTCCTGTATGCTCATGTGTATAGTAGGCAGAACATTGATTTTTAAAGCATAACAATTAATTGGAAATAAATTATTTATATAAAAATTATTAATTTTAAAGATAATTATAGTTATTAAAAATATATAAAATATAAGTAACTATATAAATTTTTTTTAAATAGAGTTAGACTACTATTGGTTATTATTAGAGTGCAGATTTATACGAATTAAAAACCAATCAAATATGTGCTAAAATGTTAAAATATGCATGAAAAATAAAAATAGAATTATTTTCTGAACTAAAGTGAAATAATGTCAGTGTTCAATAATGACCGTAATCGATATTTTCTTATTAATCTAAATATTATATTTTATATTAAATTATTATTGATCTAAGGGTCATATTTGAAAAAACCGTTTATACCTATTAATTTATTTTCATATTAATCGATACTTATAAATATAATATTTTTTTCTTATATTATACGAGTAATAGACTACAATAGTATTTTTATACTTAAAAAATGTCTAAAATAACATCAAAATATACACTAAAAGATGAAATATGCAATTAAAATTGTAAAATAAATCCTTAAAGAAGAAAAATGTCGAAATATGCAAAAATCAAAAATATGTACTAAAAAGTTTCATTTTTTAAATCGTGCTCACCTATCACATCATACGATCGATCAGAATAAATATGCAAATGCATACATATCCGCGCTTTAGTTACTATCATTTGTCACAATATCACGTTTATATTACAGTTATAAATTATATTATGATATTAATTAATATGTTTTTATTAGCTTTATTTATAATCGATGTTACTTAAATTATGAACCAACATAATAATTTATAGAACTATATGTTATAAATAATAGTTATTGTAATGTTTTTGATGTTTTTGGACCTTAAAACCTACTGTTAATGTATTTTAAGATAGTGATTTGTAGTAAGATTAGGCCTTATCAACTATTTAAACTTATTATATTTAATATAATCAAAATAATTATACGATAATTTTTTTTTTTTTGAAGAAATTCAAAATTTTTTTTTATAACCTTAATACTTTACAAGTTTGTACAACACAATCTAATATAAATATATAACATAGTTAAATCTATGCGTAATTATATAAATAAATAATTGAATAAATAATTATAATTTTAATAACGAGGCAACAGTAGCACCGAGTTATATAAATTTAAGTAAAGCAAAATCAAAATATTTACATTCCCACCTATCCACCACTGAGGATTTTAACTATATTATGTTAATATTATATTATTTTAACATATATATGAAGCGATTGCTTCAGTTCATGTACAAATTTGGCGCCACTGCGAGGCAATTTAAGCAACATGACGTGAAAAAATCTAAATAACTCTATTACATAACTATAATATAAATACAAAGTTTTTACTTTGCCTGGTTTGGGAAATTTTAATGATCGAAAATATTAACTCGATCTATTTAATATTCTGTTTTTGATGTAAACTCGATCCGTCAATAAAGTATGCAAAACGAAAAGGTTGGTCACAAACACTATAAAACTTTGGCCCATATTATTTTTTCATGTTTTTTGATGCACGCATCTATATACGAACAAATCTGACGACATCTATACTAAAAATCAGTTTAACTTTAATATTAAAACTAAAAACCTATTCATCACTTAATATTTAGATACCAATTTTAAAAATTCTGAGTCCAGCTTACAAATTATATCTTAATTATTGCCTAAAAAAATCACAGTGTTGGTTGATGAAATTGAAATTAATTTTTACATGATGTATTTGACATTACTGTGCTGAATTTTTAATCGTCCTCAGGTTTGATATTATAATTTATAATATGCATATTTCGTTGTATTTCTAGATGACGAACAATCTAGCAAAAATATAACTGTAACTAAAATAAATTTTAAAAAAAATGTTAAAAAAGATATGTACCTAATACTTGTACGAATAATATAATAATTGTGTTATGGACCATTTGTAACGTTGGGATTGGTCGCTGTTGTGTTTTATAGTCACGCCCTAAGTACGACGGGTTTTAAATTTTTACTACAAGATAATAAGAGAAAGTTCATGAAAATATTTATTTTTTTTATCTATACACATTTTAAAACCATTTATATTAATATTATAGGTATCTTTTTACAAAACAATATACATATCTGAAAGAAAATGTATAGTATTTTTATACTTACGGTTGAATATTATATTATCACAAAAACAGAATAAAGAAAACAATATTTTAAAAACAATCTCAAATATATCTACTTAAAAAACTATGTATTTAATTTAATGTGCGATGAGATGGGAGTATTTGATATACTTTAGGTAATAATTAATAAGTAATAATTATTTATTTCACTCCACGCAAGTTTATACAAAAGTATTATAATATTGTACAAGTGGCGAATTTATGGGGGGAGGGGGTGGTTCCGAGTTTAAATCCCCCTCCCAAGAACAAAAAAAACATGTATCTATGCACCAATACGTCGTAGAAGTTTTTAATTAAAAATACCTAATCAGAATGTGTGTACGGAGTACACAATTATAAAAATATTGTCCACTATCCACAAAAACCATAATAGTAGAGCGTCGATGACTGATGTCGACACGTAGTCGACCAGGCGGAAATTCGTTGCGGCGACACGGTAACGGCATGGCAAAAAGGGCCGCAGTATTGAACGTGTTAAATCAATATTTTATTACAGGTTTACTGATAATTGAACGATCTAGACAGGCTGTCTATATAACTGTTTAAGACAGTATTGGGTTATTTTGGTATGGAGTATCTATAATTTATTTTTAATTTAGGGAAGACTAAACGGGTTAGCTAATGTTATCCATAAATTCGAAAGATAAAATTA